TTAACCACGGTTAAGCTGTTATATAAACTAACCGTAACTTTTTGTTGCTGTTAAAAGATTTTTTTGTCGCTCTTAGTAACTAACATTTTAGAAAAGTTTTTTGAGAATAATTCAAATTTAGTATCTAGCTAATGTAAGTTAAATTGTACCGTAACCTCCGCTGCATAAAAACAATATATTTTCCTCAATTACTATTCAAAATGACCATCATTTATTTAATATAATGTTTATTTTTTCAAGTCCGGCTGAATGGTGTGAACATGTTCAAGAGAGTAGACTTTGCAGCTATTTTAACATAAATGTTTAAAAATATGAGAATAAAATTTAGCTTTTGCTTAAGTTTTAAAGTAATATTGTGTGCAAATATATGTTTCCAAATAACCAAAGTATACGGTTTCATGCAAGTTTTTTATCCTATTAGGCGTTTTGTGTTCGAGATCTCTTTACTTTTACTTTCAAATTTTTATTTAATAACGGTGATATGTTTTTATCTACAAGTGTCTAATATTTCAAAAATCAAACTAAATTTGTTTACTTAATATCAGAGGATTAATCTGATAAGTCCGACTTTGCCAGGGAAATTGTAGTAAAGTTGCATTATAATTTGCAGCAAAAGAAATGCATACCTACTTCAAGGGTTTATTCTCGTAAGCTCATTAGGAAATATTGATTACATAAGTTACGAGAACTGTTTAATCAAATTACTTACTTGCATATACCACAGTAATAATAACTAATTTAATTGCACGACAATAGATCCCAAAGCAATTGCACTAAAAACAAGATTTGAATTTTTAAACGTTAACGAAAAGTTTCGTTAAATGAAGGCCGAAAAATTGCAATGCTCAATAAGCCGAGCAAGTCGTGAATAACTTTCCGCTTGCTTCACATACATTTCCTCTAACCATGCCCAAATAATCTACGTTAGGATCGTGTTACAGTGACCTACAATTAAGCCAAATCGAATTAAAAGTAAAATCGGAACCAATATAAAACACTGCCGTCGTTAATCCCCTTTAACACCAAACCGTAAATCAGTAAATAGTTGAGTGAAACAGACCGTATCGGTCTACATTAGAAGCCCATTAATCGGTTAATGGCCTAATCGGCCTAAGTGGTTAATTAGAGAATGAGTGAACGATAGGATTCAAAAAAGGAATAAAAAATGTCGAGCACACAAAAGCCGAAGTATATGGGAACACCTTTTATTAAGAAAATTTACGAGACTCACAAGAAGTGGTTGGGAGGTGAGTCTAAGTCGCAGAAGCAGGAAAAAACTGAATACGCCAGGAGAAATTCGTCAATCGAACCGCAGAAAGTACAGCCTAATTATGAAAATGCGAGCAACTGTGAAGTGGAAGAAAAACGATCAATTGCCGGATCGGACCTTGATTCTTTACAGAGTGATAAGCTAAGAATAGTCATTAATACCTTCGACAAAATATTGGATGAATACAGTAGTATCTCTTCGGATGTTGCTAAAGACAAATCCTTCATTATTCATGGACCTTATGTAAATAATATTGAAGTAGATCCCAGTAAGTTTATTTCTGCGATAAGCCCACCAGTGCCCAAGCGACATTTATCACAAAGGCAACCACCGGATCACCCTGCGCTCCCTACTAAGGTTGCCATTAAAATTGTACCACCTCCAAGAAAGCATGCAGTCTCCAAAACACTGATCAATGATGAAAAGAAAGTCACCGAACAAGAGGTACTAGCAGTAATTCCCAAAGCTTCTGTGGCACCAGCTATGGTTACGTCTAAAAGTAGCACGAAAATACCTAAGCTAGTCAAAGCCAAAACATGCAGTATAATAGAGTCTAAATGCATTTTGAAGAAAACCAACTCGACTAACGGCCTTGGTCAACTATCATTTAGTCAACCAAGCACATCGAACAAGACTAAAAGCATGACAAATCTGGATGTAAATGCTTCCATTTGTCCCAAGATTGTGCCAATTTCCATTGATGTTTCAAAAGCAGTGAATGAAAAACCACAAGAATCTATTCAGTCTCGTGCAGAACCTGCTCCAAAAATTCCTCCAAAGCCTGCCCGCTCATTGATGCAATTGGACATTATCAAAGATACTCTGCCCTCTAGGGCAAAGCCACCAATAGAATCTCCAGTGAAAGTTAAAGATCTAGTAAAACGTCTTAATAGTCTCACGGACTCTCCAACTGCCGATGCCCCTTTGCAAGTGCCCACTCTCTCTAAGGCTGTAAGTACCACTAACTTAAGCCTGTCGAAGAAGCATGGCTCTGTAAGTAAGATACCAGTAAATTCCAACTTGAGAAAGAGTTTCCCTAGCACTCCTTGTCATCTAGATAAACTAGATAATAACGGATGTGTATCAGTGGGGAGAAAATCGAGCACAAGCCTGAACAAAGCAAGGAGTGTTCAGAACTTAGCCAAGCCGAAACTGTCTTTGTCAATGTCTATCTCGAGTACTACAGATGAAGAGAAGAAGGCTGTAACGAAAGCTAAAAGTGTGCAGAACTTGGCAAAACCGAAACTGTCTCTAGCCAAGCCTGTTGAGAAAGGACTTGGGAAAAGCGTGCCTGACTTGGTGAAGAATAAACCGTATTCGAGCAAGCCTAAGGTTTTTACAGGATCATCGGAGAGTGTGAACAGAGTCAAGGTTTCCAAAAACATTGCAAAAATGCCTGAGGTGAAAGCCAAAGTTTCATCAGGAATTACTGTTATCAAAGCAGGAACTTCATCTTTCCCTAATGCTGCCAAATCCACATCCAAAGCAGCAAGGGATGTTGCTAAATTTAAACCAAACGTAAAAAGTACTCAGAATGCCATGCTGCTTGCCAGGTCAAAGACCAAAGCCATGGATCTCGTTGATGGATCTAGTGTACCTTCAAAGAACCCAATAAAAAGAACCGAAACTTTGTCATCGAAAAGCAGACCCTCTGATGTCACAAGGCAGGTGTCGGCTATTAAAGGCACGAAAGATCTTAGAGATAAAAATGTCTCTTCAGCCGTGAAAAAAATTGAAAACCGGGATGAAGTACACACAGGCGTTAAAGTAGTTAGAAACCAAACTTTCAAGAAGTCTGATTTACCGGCAGGTTTCAACGAAGTTAAAAGAGCCGCGAAAGCGTCTGTACAGCACAGGGCACAATACGAACCAAAACTAGTTGAAAAATCAACGAAAATTGCTGACAAAAGTTCGCTTAGAAAATCCAGTCCTTCCAGAGTTAAGCTCGACTTGGAAAGAACCAAAAACTTCTTGGATATGGTCGTGACGAAAGACGAGTCGAAGTTTTACTTGGATCCAGGTGATTATATCAAGAGCAGTGCAACAAAAGAAGGCGCTAATATTAGTGATGGAAAGAATTTGGACTACAATTCTGATGATTCTGGAAATATATCCACTGAGGTCGATTGTGATGAATTGAATTCCACCGTTTCATCAGTTCGAAGCAGAACCAGTACGGAATCATTGCCAACAGTTTTGGATGCATCCGGTGCTTCAGTTCCCAAAAACTTAAGTGCTCCTTGTGCAATTTCCATTGTTCTGGAAGATGTTCCGAAGAAGGTTTGTTATGTTACGTTTTATAGTTGCCTAATTACTATTGTTGTCATTTAACTGCTTGAAATATCACGATATGTTTTTTTGCTTTTATAGTTTCCATCTTTGGGAGTTTAAGCTTAAATTGTTTGGTGACAAATTTTATTATCAAAGTACGCTTTTGGACGTCTCCTTTTCGATGCATATAGATATAATTTTTTGATACAGATACGGACTTACTAGATAATAGACACGTAAATGTCTTTTGCTATTGTAATATATATTGCGGTTTTTCAGAAGCCTGCTCGCGGAGCAACTGATTAGTTAGTTGTATAAAAAATAATACCCGGTAGTTGTTATTTTGTTGCAATTTTGGAACCAATGGCCCATAGAGGCGCAACTAAGAAGACTATTTTTTTCCCATTTGAAATAATTTTTCCTCATTTAGAGTTATATTGTTTTTAAAAATCCAGTTACAGTGAATAACAATTATGAGGACGAGCTACTGAGCCGACAGTACAACTTGCGCGCTGAAGAATATATACAATAACAATTACAAATAAATTTTATTCAAATTGCTCATTTTAAAACTCTCCAATTTGGAAACACTTCATTTCGCAGATATTTTAATAAATCAAAAAACGTTTTGTTTGGATATCCCCTGCCAGCCCTAAAAATTGTTGGGTATATTTCAACAACACCTTGTGTATGCAACATTATTTGAGTGTATGTTAATATTGATTTAAAATTGTTTCCCAAATTTACTCAAAGATTAGCCGCACTATTTCTTGGATTAATTGTTCACCTGTGTTTTATATATTTAGATCATTTCCTCAACATTTAAGCCGAACCACATAGTTTCCGTTTCTACTTTAACATTAACAACTTGCCTGACTAATAAAACACTTACTACGCTGTCGTCAAATGTTTATAATTTATATGCAATTTCTCTCTTGAATCAAGTTGCAACTATATGTTTAAAGCTTTCACGCTCATGTACCTGGCTTTACATATGAACATCGTTGCAAATGAATTCCACATTGTTTAAGCTCAAATAAACTGTAAACGGTACGCGGATCCTAAATAAACTTAGGTATATAAATACTATGTGGTTGTTGGATTGTGTTCTTTGAAGGTATCCTCCAAAGAATCGGCATCTTTTGTAAATTGTTTACTTTGAAGTAATTTATGGAATTATGACTCTCAGCAATTTATCCATATCTGTCGTGAAATATAAATTGTTATTTTTTATACTAAATACAAAATAATGCAATTTTTAAACTTAAAACACAAATTTGAATCTCAGTGTCAAATATAAATCTGACGATGGTTCTCTAAGTTAAAGTTATAATATACAAACAAATGTTTTTGAAAAATTGCCCGACGTATAATTGAAGAATGCAGTTGATTCCATGTTTCTTAGCAATTAATGAAATTCGAGACTTTATAATTTAATTTAAAATCCTTTATTTTTCAGATCTTTTTCCGCACTGGTGTTGTTTCGCAGCTAGAAGCTCAGCGCGATGAACGGCTGGCTGGTGTTGTAATATCTCTTCAAGCCCATTGTAGAGGGTATTTGGCTCGCAGAAAGTTGCAGCAGAAGAAATTGCAAGATCTGGCTGTGAGATGCATTCAGAGAAATGTGAGAAAGTTTATGCTGGTGCGAGATTGGCCTTGGTGGAGGCTCCTGATTCGAGTCACTCCGCTGCTAAATGTTCATCGTACCGAAGAGGAGCTAAGAGCGAAAACGGTAAGTTTAAACACATTGTAGAGTGGGATTTTATAAAACTTTGTTAACTTATAAGATTTAATGTTTTATAAATGACCCAACAAAAGGCCAGGGAATGCAATTTAAAATGAATAAGTCTTTATAAGAAAAAACACAAAAATTTAATGAAATTTATAAGATGGAGCTCGTGTCTTGATAGGATAACTTCTCATCTAAATAATATCTCATAAATCATAATTGTTAATTGTAGCATTTGCCATGTAATATCAAAGTTTTCAGTGAGTCTTTACACGGCAAGTTTAAATTTGATTCATTCCTTTCATATCTATAGAGATATTTTCAGTTGGTAGTGATGCGCCCTGAATATATTTTTCTTTTATTGAGGGTTTAAACGGATTTAAGTAATTTAGTTCTATTTGAAGTTCTACCCAATACTTTCCATTAAGTACTGGTAATTTAGATCTATTGTGTTGTTTAAATCGTAGATTAAAATGTAGGATTTCATTTATTTCATTTAAAGTTGATATGAGTAAAACTGAAGCTCCATCTAAAAAGTTATATTTTAAAATTCAATTTCAAAAAGTTAATTAATTTTATTTCATTGGGAGCTAATGTTTATCAACGTTAACATATTCTGTCTGAATTTAATACGTGCCAATATCTTTCTGGTGTTTGCTCTGCATCAAGGATTTTCTATATACTTTTTATAATTAATATTGAAAAATACATTATTTTTATTAATGTACCTACATGATTTTTTCGATATAATTTAATAGTAATAAACACAGAAGGATTTTATTGATACAACCTAGTTCGATATGTAACTTTTGGTTGGGGCCAAAAAAAGAGGATTATAAAAACCCAGACGTTTCCTCGTGAACCAGGCGAGCCACCCTGTATATAGAACATTTAACTGGGTGATTGAAATTGGGTGTCATAATGAGGAATGTTTCACCTGGGAATAGGCAGGAAATAATGTAATAAAAAATGATTTTTACGAGAAACTGAGATATAAAGTAAATTAGAAAGTTTATAGCAATTTATTTGATAGCACTTGCAAATAACGTTTTTCTCATTAACACTACATAATCACATGATTCGTTATTCATAATTCAACAAGGTAATAGGGGAAATTAAATGGAATTATAAAGTCGTGACTAATCGATTGAGAAGAATTGAATAATTTAGCATCAGCGTTATTTAAAAGATTCATCCGAACTAATTCAGATCTTTGAAATTTGTTTTTCAATTGAGATTCGGAAACAATGATAATAAATAAGCAGCAATAAAACCGTGCTTTGATCGAAACCAGGAATACCAAGTATTGAGAACTATTGAAAGGTTTCGCGCATATTTTACTTGATTTCGACAAATTTATATGAGTGTATACTCTGATGACATCAACTTTTTTATCAACTTTTTTCAGCAGAAAATTGCCATATAACCACCATACATGTGAGGTTATCAGGTATCTGTGATGATTTGTGGATAAATTGTGGGATAAAATTGATGTCATAAAAGCACTGTCGAAACCAATGAAAATTTGGGAAAACATTTTAATGGCGGCTCGTATATGGCGTTAGTGCTTGTTTCTATCAAAACACGGTTTTAATTGTTGCTTATGAGTTATTCCGTGAGTAGATCTTTAGAAACCAATTGCGGCCACTTCCACGTTCTTTGACACGTCACTTTATCTTTCTCAGAATAATCAATTTGCGTATAATAAACAATACACTTTAGATTAATTTCCTTTCTCATGAAGAAGAGTTTACCTATCTAGTGTTCACAGGAAAGGTAAACTTGATGCTATGCGATATTGTTATCCGTTTTAACTTGTGAGGAGCCTAAAGAAAAAACTAACCACAAATCCATGGTAATGTAGGAAGCATTGCATCCGCAATAATTGCTATTGTGATTTTTTTTTTAATTAATTGAACTGTGATTTTGCCAAATAAGAAAATTTGCTTAACTTTAAGCAGGTCTTTTATGTGTAATGTTTCGTTATACTAATAGGCTGACAACGGGCCGATGAGCTACTTTTACAAAATGCTTAATGCGAAGAAGTAACTGAGGAAGCATGCATTTCCTTCACGCCAATTCTGAATGCACCTGTAAAGTGCATTTTAACCTTTCTTGCATTTTTCAACAAGTCAACGATTTCATTCCTTTATGAAATTATAAATCAAAAAGCTCTCCAAGAAACTGGATTAATGCATATTCAAGAACGTGTTAAACGAATTTTCTTCAAATGTTCTTTCACTAACTGCAGGGCATAGTAGCGAGTTTTCAGGAAATTACTTTTAAGTTCTCATAATTTTTATTAGCCGCCGTTGGGGACATAACTTTATTAGATTTATATTTAATTACATTTTATTTAATTTTTCGAATAGCATGACGATGCGAAAGTATCTCAATTATAGTATCTCGCGATGATCTCAAAACACTCTCATTAATATAATTCGCAATCATTAAAAGTACCAAAGATATTTAACGTAGTATAACAGCATTGTTTATTAAAATGACCAATGTGGTTACTGTATAGTTGAATTTTTCATACGTAAATATATTACACCGAAAGTCAGCAATCATAAAGTCATCTTATCAGCACTTTTACTGTACTAGAATTTGCTTTTCCCCGACAAATGGGCATATTTAAACTGGTTCTTTAAACTGAACCAATTATTAACACTGAAAGTAATCCAATTATAAAATGCTTTAAATCATGTTTATGGTCAAAGAGCTATTCTCGTAGTCGCGAAATTACATTTTGATGACGTACAGCTTGTATCCAATAATTAAAACCGAATTAAATCGCCTTTACAATAAACTCGGTGGCATATTTCTTTCGGAATGCCAATTCGAAAGTAAATAAGAGCATCTTTTAAATATACCGGCGCAAGACAAATTCGCTAAAAGGCGATTAATGTTTGCATTCGTACAGAAAGCAAGCACATTATTGCTTATCTGGCAAGCATCTATTTAACAAAATGTAATCGTTAAAGCAATATGTCTAATTATTATCTTACACATTTTACTAATTAAGTATGTTGAAAGATTATGTCGAAGAATGTTACGTGACACGATAATGCATGGTAATTACGCAATTCACTAGGCGAAGATGTTTATAACTATCAAAACTTGATTGAAAACGGAAGCCTTGATAGATTTTTATTCATTTCCTAGAAAGAAACTGTTTACTCAACACATTCCTTCTTGTATTTCTTATACGGCAGTTGTTGTTAACATAATGAATACTGGTTGAGATCGTGTGTCTCTTGAGTAATGGCATACATTATTTATCAACCTAGAGATTTCTTGGGAAATGCTTAAACCAAACATAGTCAAGGGTTTAATAAAAATTTACATTTAAAAGTAACTATAGTTGTACTTGCAAGAGCAAAGGAATCTATGAAGCATATTGGAAATGCACAGTTGCATTGGGAATTTTGAATTATCAATCTGTCAGTATGAATAGTTAAAGTAATTCAAATTGCAAAGTAAATAATTTTGATAATATCGGTTTTATTTAGTTATAACGTTTCTAATATATAATTTAAATCAAGAACATTTTTTTGTGGAATAAGGAATAATTTATCCCGCCAAAAGCCGTAAATTTTTTCTTTCTCCAAAAATGATGTGTCTGCCTAAGCCGAGCAATAAATCCCTTCATATAATTTAAAAGTTTAATTTTCTTAAATATCAAATAACATTTATTGGTCCTAAAGGGTGTGTGTTAGATATTTCCCAATTTTGTTGGGTCAACATAGACCGGACGTCTTTCCACCCATGATTGGTGCAGTAAAGACATGGTTAGTGATTTGATAGGCCACATATCGATTTGTATAGGTTGATTTACTTTGGTGCACGACTCGAATTTGTGGTTTGAATTAGCTTTTTATTGTATTCTACTGTTTGTTGTTGCTTTTTCGGGCAGTTGATAAAATGGTAAATTTAGAGCCGACATATCTTGAGCTTTAATTTTTCGTACTTCTGAATGCATTAATTGAACTTGTGCTGCTCATGCAATAAAACATGCTGTCGCCTGTTAACCGACTAGAGTTTTCCATATTATCCCAATAGCCTTTGCATAGACTGTACTATTATTGTTTCTTTCTTCATATGTTTTCTCCTAGTAAACGTTTTTTACCTTATCAGGGGATGAAAATTTCTTTTTGGGGAAGGGTATGCCCAATAATTCGTAATGCAATGCGCTCGATTCTCGTTGAAGTCGGAATGACTATATAAAGTCACAAGAATGTAAAGAGCAAATTATTATTAATTCTGAATCTATTACTACTGCAGTTTTCAGACTTGTCTCGACTCGATCAACGAAAAACTAGAATGTACTACCTAAATATATCAGCAAAGTCGTTTTACATTTATCGATATTGTTATAAAAAACCGCGACTTACTGACCGACTAAATATTGACAACCACAATAAATAATGAGAAAGGCAAAACAAAACTTTCTGATGGTTTTTACCAGTTTTTCCCATAAAGCAAATCTTCGGTTGACATGCGAATGCACGGCATGCATTATTTATCTTCTCTCCGTAGCACTCTGATTGAAGCGATTTTTTTCGATAACGACAAGTACACAGCCAATAACAAGAAGCGGTGAATGTTTTACTTTCCTAGGAATAATTCATTATTTTAAAAATACAATTTACATTTCGAAAGGATCTTTGCTTGTGGGAATGTTGTCGCTTGAATGCAAGCTCCATAGACGGGAAATTTAAACTTGTTCTCATTCTCAACTTTCACTTTGAGGGGACAATTTTTACATTGGAAAACACTACAAACTTAACTCTACAGAGTGTTTCGGGAATGTGCTGCATTAAAGTGTAATCAAAGACGTACAATTAAATAGGCAATTAAATTGGATGATTTTGTATTTTAAATTATAATTTTTGTTTTTTAAATTCTCGTTGATTTATCATTATTTTCATTTATTAAATAAGAGCAATTTTTTGTCCGTATCTTTTCTTAACACGCAAAACTGTCAAGTAGGCGGAATTTTA